ACTTTTTGCCCTTTACATTACCCTTTTTCCCTTTTATTTAAAAGTCCCAGAAAGACTTGTCAGCCGTCTTGCGGCCCCCCATGCCATCACCCTCGGTCTTAATTCCAGCCTGTTTATTGCCCGTAGCCTCTTTCTTGGCGGGACTCTCGTCGAAAAGGGACCATGCAGCCTCTGTGCCCTTGCGGCCACCCATGCCGTTGCCGGCAATGTTGATGCCGCGGTTCTCGGGGGAATCGGCATGGGTGCCCCAGTGCGTCTTCATGGAGCTGCGGACTGCTTGGGTTGACTTGATGTTCTCTTTTTTGGCTGCAGCTGGGCTGTCGACGGTTGTGTTGGTGACGTGGTCGTCGTAGAGGCCTTGACCTTTGTTGCCTTGTTTGCCCTTGATGGGGCGGGCGCGCTGGCCCTCGGGGGTGCCGTCGTCGTTGAATTCAAAGTGTGCGTCTGCGTCTGGGCGGGCTTTGTGGACTATGGGGCGGCGGACAGGTGAGACGTCGTCCTGTAGTGGAGATATGTTAGCATCTTGTTTCTTTTATTCAACGACGAGCAGAGACAGATATGCAGCCTCTGTCTCTCCCTAACAAAACAAACTAACCTCATCATCGCTCCAGCCAAAGTGTCGAACGGCCTGGGGGTGCGTCTTGGGCTTGGCCTTGTCGGGAGTAGCAAAATCGTCAAAGTCCCAATGCGCAGAGTTCTTGGTACGGAGCTGGTTCTGCCTTGGCCGTAGAGCCTCCGGGGCCTTTGGAGTCTCCTCACCGTCACCAAATTGGAAGTGGTCGTACTTCTTTGAGTTCGTCTTGACACTCGAGGGCGCACTAGGGACTGATTCGTCGTCGTCTTCATCAAACAGGCGGTTGGGCTTGTAGTTCTTTCCAGCGCCTGATTTAGTTGGGATCTTTTGTGATGGGGTAGGCGAACCACCCTCGGCGGCAGCGAACAACTCGGAGTACTCGCGTGGCGGAGGTTTGGCAGACTGCGCGCGGGGTGCTCCAGGCTGGCCTGTGTACGATGGCTCCTCTTCAGTCTCGCGAGGCGCAAACAGTGAGAGTGACGCGTGCGGGTCGTTCATGGCATTGCTTGTCGACCTCTGCGAACGCGAGGAAATGGAAACCTCATCTGCGCCGCGAGAAGCAGATGTTGTTGGGCGCGACGAAGCCGCAGACTCGGGCTGAGAAGCAGAGGCATTGTTGGATATCAAGCGGATCTGTTCGCTGGCGTCCCGAATAGGCCAGTTGCGCGATCGCGCGCCGATGACGTCGATCTGCTTGAGGAGGGAGCCCTGGTCCCAGTACTGGCGAATCTGTGTGATCTTGCCTGCGTGATCGAAATGGACTACGTGAACCTGTTCATGTTAGTGTCGGTGAATCGCGCGGGTAAAAGCTAATATGCATACCATGGGGAACGTGGCAGTTCGGTCTGCAACAAAGTTGTCGTCTAGGCCTGGGAGGTATGCGCCGCCGCCGTTGCTGAACTCAATGGTCGTCTCCACATCAACGCTCAGGGCGCGACTGCCCTCAACGGCGTCGAGGATGTTCTGCTTTGTCTTCTTCAACAGCTTCTCCTGGACCGACAGGTGTTTGATGATGGCCGTCGCATCGCTGATGCTAGTTGTGGTAGAGACGTAGTGGAGGGTTGCGTTCTCAGCCAGCGCACCTGTTGAGGGAGTGGCCAGGAATCTGGCATACGTGTCGCGGAGCGTCATGACGCCTTTTTTTGGTTGCTGCTGTATGCTAATTTCTGTTGTGTGTATGGATGGTGGATGGTTGCTGGCACAGTGGCGGTTTCTGGCGGGGCGCGATGGGGGTTGGAGGTACAGATGTTTGTGTGTGTAAACAAGCAGAAACCAGGCGCGCGAGCAACTAAGTACCTATGTATGGATTGAGACAGTGGAGATGGTGAAAGGGGAAAGCATAACAATTACGGGCAGGCCAGGACCGTACGGCCCGCAGCAGCCCCAGCAGCCCCCGGCTTCTCATCTCAGCAGTCTGTTGTTGCTGCAGGGGCACTCCCGCCGTTGCAGACACGCCCCACCTCCAACAGCCACCAAGACCAAGACGGACTGCGGAGATCCACGTGGATAACTATGTCATGCAGCTAGCTATGATGCTACAGAACTATAATCCATCTCCACTAACACTCTTCTCGCTCTTTGCCGTTGGGCCATGTTTTCTCGGTCTGGGAGGATACAATGACCATCTGCTTACGTCTCTCCTCGGCAATGTCCACAAACGGCGTGTTTCAGGTCGCTTTGATGTACCCGTACAATCTCGGATGCCTGAGCGCTGATTTCGCTTTCCCCGCCAATGCTTTTTCTTTTAGGGGCACACAACACCTGGCCAGCACACGAGCTACTGGAGATATTCTTCATTTATTGGGTACGCTTGACATTGACACGCAGGTCTCTCCTTGTCAATACCACTATCTCGCTTCTACCCAAGCCTGTCACAGCACACCACCCAGACCAACCCGAGTGTAAAGGGGTATATTTTGATGCAAAAACATGTCCGCCATCAAGTACAAGTTGGAGTGCTCAATTTCCCACACACAAAGGATAGGAAAGCCATGCTCGTCCAAGACAAACAGTGTAGCCTTTACCCCACGCTAGACCACGCTTGTACCATCTAGTCGTCCGAGCCATCCTCGGGCAGATTCCTCAGCACCTCTTCCACAATCCTAATCAGCTCGTCCACATCTGGGCGTTCACTTGGTTCCAGTCTCAAACATTTCCTGACCACTTCCTTTACGCTGTCTGAGATGGCATCCTCAGGGTTGGCCTTTTGCTTGCCCCTTTGTATGCCTTCGTCTGGGAACCTCCAGTCTCCACCCAGCACGCAAATACTTAAACTGCCTCCAGTCTCGTCTGATCGTGCTTCGAAAGGACTCTTGCCCACAAGACACGCGTACAATGTGCAACCTAGCGACCATATGTCGACCTTGGTATCAATGACGGAGCCAGTCTTGACATCAAACAGCTCAGGTGCGCGGTAAGGCATTGTCGAGTGTTCAGCAGCAGTATCTTGGACTTGCAGAGCAAGAGAGCGCGATGTGATGGGCGTCGGCGAAGGCGCGAGGGAGCCAAGATCCATTAGGATGGGTGTTTTGCCGTCATCATCTATCATGATATTTCCTGGTGTATCTGTTAGTCGTTGTGATTCAAGCATGCACGAGACGGTCCACGTACCTGGCTTGATATCCCTGTGCGCATATGCCCTCTCTCCGCCAGGCGCAATGCCTTCGTGTGCCGCTGTGACCTCGGACTCCTCAAGTAGCCCTTCGGCTTCTTGCTCGTCATCTTCTTCGTGGTCCCGATTCCGTCTGCTTGGACGCATCTCCATACTCTCCGCAGCCTCTGCGTCTGCCCTCTTAGCGTCTCTCCTGACTTTCTTCGCTTTCCCCTCACTCGCCCCACCTCCAGGTCCCCCTTTGACCTTGTATTGATGCATCGCCTTGAGAGCTTTACAAACGCCCAGAAATAGTTCCATCAGCCTGCGTTCCGGGAACTTTGTGTGGTTGACCAGGTTCGCATTGATCATGTCTTGTAGGTTGCCGCGGCGATAGTATGGAAGGAGGATGTAGACGGTCTTTGCAGACGGGTCTGACTTGTCGTTCTCGACGGAGTAATCGATCGAATGAATAATGTTTGGGTGTGGCGCAAAGAGTGAATATGCCTCAACCTCTTTCAGCGCAAGACTGACGCTTTCTTGTCCAAAAGGACATCTTATCTTCTTCAGCGCAAGCAGCTGCTGATTTGAATTGTCTTGCACAAGGTACACATAGGAGAAACCACCCTGTGTTGAGATCAGTTAATTGAACCCAAGTTCAACCGCGCCATGTGAACTTACCTCACCCAGCAACCGCAGTATCTTGAAGCTTCGGCTATTGACTTTCAGTTGAGGTGAGCTTGGAAAGCAAACCATGCAGTTTGTGAAAGAATAAACAAAGTCGAGGAAGTATGTGCCTAGTGACCCCATGGTTGCAGTTATTGCAGTTGTGATACTCTCTGTTTGCCAGCTATCAACAACTTTCGGGGCGCGATACTAGCGTAGAGGCCGGACGCGCGGTCGATGAGCAGGCTTCGATTGCAAACCACACCGCGAATATTGTGAAACTATTGTAAATGCCGGGTACAGTCGTGGAAATTGCGAAGATGGTGTTGCTGGCTGAGAAAAGGCGCAACGGTGTTCGGAGAAGCTGACGACGTGGTTCGTCCGGGATGCGCCAAGGGTGTGGCTGTGAACTCGTAGCTCACGTCACGCTTCTAGAGGCTCGACACCCCTCCGGTCAATGCCCCACAGATTTTGAGCCGCTCAGCATGGCTAACATGTGAGTACCGCAAAACGCAGCAGCTCAGAAGTATCTTCAACCTAATATATATTCAATGAAACTTGTGATTCTTCCATCTTACGTAAGATCCATCGGGCGTATAGCTCAGTGGTAGAGCGCCCGCTTTGCATCAAGCAAAGTTGCGGGAGGTCTGGATTTCGATCATCCATCCGTCCAATGTCGTGGACCAACGAGTGTTCGTTGATTTCTTTTTTTGCCCAGCCCTCCCACACTCCACATACCCACCATGGATATATTTTTGCCCAATGTTTCTACTCTGCCTCAATATTTCTAATGTAGTGCTGTGTTTCATATTCGGCTCGATTAATCAGAACAGTCAAATTCTAACGGTGCTCAAGAATGAAATGCATGTTGCCATCTTATAACCCAATATACATGGAAAAAGGCATAACCAGAGATATTGTCGTGTTGGACAGGTATGTTGCTGCCAATGCTTTGGACGATTACGAACTGAGGCCCTTTCAGATCACATGTAGATAAGTCAGGAACCCCGCAGCATAGAAGGCACGCTATTCCGCCATTGTATCTAGTATGCTTATACTTAAGCCACCGGATTGTAGAAACCCACTAGATCTCACATTGCTCAACGTCTATGAACAAGGACCACGGATACCAGCAAGCTACCCATCAGAAAACCCAGACGCTGTCTTACAATGGCCACCCCTCCTACCGGTCTCCTCAAGCTCCCCCTCGAACTCCGCCAACAAATCTACCACTACGTCCTCGTCCCAACCCTCCAAACCCGCACAATAATCATTTCCATCACCTGTGGGAACTATACCAAGAAACTACACGGCTTGGAACCAATCCAGAGCATAATCTTCACGAACCGCCTCATCAACCACGAAACCCTCCACTACTACTTCACACACTTCATCTTCTACCTCCACAATAGCTTCTACTCCATCATGGACCTGATGAGCGAATTCTATCTGCGGATCGGCAAACAAAACCGGATGCGGGTTCGGTACATTGTGATACCGCGGTTCAGCGTTGACACGCCATTTTTCCGAGGCGGGTACTGGTGTACAACGAGTGCTCAGGAGCGAAACGGGAAATATGAGGGATTGGTGAGGGATATGGAGTTGGCGTTTAGGATGTTGAGGCACTTTCGGGCGCTGGAGGAGGTGCAGTTTGGGCTGTATTTTTCGGAGGTGAGTAGGGATAAGGGGATTAGGCCTTGGGTTAGACGGGATGATGATGGGGAGGGAAAAGAGCAGACGTGGGATTCGTATATCATGGGGGTGTTTGGGGAGGCGAAGAAAGTTTGGCCAACGGAGAAGATTGGGATTTGGTGGGATCGGTTACCGGAGGGGCTTTCTAATGCGGAATCACTGCGACTTCAGGAATATGGGTTGCAGCAGTTACAGGCAAAGGCTGCACCTACTCGGGTTGAACTTGTGGAAGCTCCATTGGAAATTATTGGGGATTTTCGTTTCTAGAAAATAAAAGCACGGTTCGAAAAGATTCTTGCTTCTTTTCTTCATCCCACATCTAATACTCGTCATCAATCCCAGCCTCCTTTTCGGCCTTTTTCCTCTCCTCGTTCATATCCCAAAACCACCCATGCGTTACGAGATCCGCCTCGTTATGCACCTCTTTCCCATTCCACGGTTTAGGAGCCAGAATATAATGCACATTCTTGACCTCCTCATCTCTCCAAATAGAGTCATGAACGCCTTTCCAGCGTAGAGTCTTTAGTGCATTGTACACATACGGCAGTCCAACCCATCGGCCGCGGAAGAGATCAGAAAGTAGCGACTGATCGGCAAAAGCATAGTCTGCTGTTTGGGGCTTGTCCAGGGTTTTCAGGATAAGGTTGTACACTGCTTTGCTGGGGTTGACGACCTGGAGGCCGCCGTTCATGTACTCAAGTCCAGTGGTGCATGGAGCTCCACTTGTTTGCGCCTCATCCGGTTTACCATGTTGATGTGTGTAGGCGCAATTCTCAGGAACCCTAGTACGCATTTAGCAATTTGGATGTTCACAACGCCGCGTAGTACTAAAAGATCGGCGGATATGTGTTGAGAAGACAAAGGCTTACCAATCACTAGGATAATGTGCCCTCTTTAGGGGATTGCACACACATGCATGCGAAGCTGCAAATACCCTGTCGCCCTTGCCTTCGAGAGCGGGAGAATCGAGTTTGATAGTCATCAGCTCGTCCATGTTGCGCATGACAAGCATGTCACTATCTAGCTGGACGATTCGCTCAAACTCTGTTAGCCCGAAAGGAACCATCTTGGTCCAGCAGTCGTAAAACCGTGGGTCATTGCTGTAATCGTTGCCAGCTGAAGGTAGTAGGTAAGGAACGTGCCGCTTGCGAATGCCGCGGCGGTCGAGTGCCTCATGAGCTTCGGCTGGTAGTTCATCCGTATACAATACGACGAGCGGGTAGAGAGATTTGGAGCGTTTCAGTGAGTAATCAAGTGTCAAGAGACCCGTGAGGTAGGCTGTGTTTGTGAGGAGTGTTGTCCATACTATTCATTGTGAGCAAAGTGCAGTAATGTGTTGGTTGTTTGACCAGGCTGTGCCATGTGGCTTACCTCGGGGTGGGCGGTCGCCCACTGGTGTGTCCAGGCTAATAGCTGAAGGTGCCATAATCTTAACAGTTGTAACAAAGCTCAGCTCAGGCTTTTCAGATTGCGAATTTAGTCCACTCTTGTGATATAGGCCTTATAAGAGGGGTGCCGCTGTACCTACCCAGGGCCAGCATTAATATGATACCACTTGGCATCAGTTCGGGCGATCATCAGGCATACTCACCTTAGTACCAAATCGGTATAATGGTGTGATAATCCGACGCTAGCTTGCCTCTAGAGGAGATGAGTGTTCATGTAACCGGTGAATGCATGCAAAGACGACAGGGGTATCGAATTCCGAAGGATAGCCCTATGATGGTGTGCGATTCATTAAAAAGCAAATCCCATGGAACAAGTAGAGCGAAGAGGTCTTATTTATGGTAGCTTACACAAAAAGCACAACGAAACATTAAGTTCAAACTATGAGCTCGATGAACAGCTCGTCATACATTATAAATCCAACTACGCCAAGGTCGGTACGCAGGCATATTCTCGGACTATCTACATATTGTAGCATCGTTCTGTTACTATTCGCCTGATTGGGCAAGGAATTCGATACGGGACTTTGCATTAGTCCATGCAGCCACTCTCTTTTTTCCCCTTCGGCCAAGTTGCAAGTTGAAGCAATCGCATACGTACATGAGACGATTCCGTATCATCAAACACAACCGGAGTACTTACCGGTTACCTTGGCAAGCTGGCATTAAATGATCAACAAGATGAACTGTATGAGCTTGCTGCAAGATGGACACCACATCTTTCCAAGACTCTTTCTTAGACCCCGCACCAGTAGTTCCCACGTGAGTCGGTCCGATTCCAAACTGACTTCGGGTGAAAAGCGCTCGACGCGACATGGTTTAGAGGCCGGAATATTCAGTGATTATCTATGTGATGTACCGAGGCTTATCCGTTCGGAAAATATAATCGGTGCTGATGCCAGTAGTAGCTGGCGGACATATCACTAATGCACATAAGATCTCTGTAGTTGCGCTGATATTGCTTCGACTTGACCATCACATGCTGTCTCGACCCCTGGCTCTCAAAATCCGCGCAATTTGCTTACAAAAAGCGAAATCACAGCTGCTCAGCTAGATATCGATCGTACATTAGGAGATGAAGTCGTCCTCACTCAGGCACCAGAAAAAAAAAGGAAAAACAAGTCATAAACGAACAATCATGAAATTAACTATAATTACATCCAACTCAACTCAATCTTCCAACGCCCAATACACCCCAGTAGTAATCCGATTTTCCCCTCTTCCATCACCCACCAGGTATATACTCCTACCACAGAACCTCCTTATCCCCCTAGCACACCTACTCTTCATCCTCTTCCTCTTCCTCCTCACTATCCTCCTCCATCCCCTCCGCAGCCTCAACCTGAAACGTAGGCGCCTGATCAACACCCAGATAACTATCACTCACCAGATAAAGCGTCAACTCATGACTACCGGGTTTCTCCAGTGTAAACTCGAGCACCGTCTCAAGCTTGCGTAGGATAGGTACTTTCTTGATAGCAAGCAGCGTGCGCTCCTTCTGGTCACCAAGCACAAGCCACCAGCTCTCCGTCTTGTCGGCCGGGTAAAATGGAGCGTGAACTTCGGTCTTAGGCTCCTCGTCTTCTTCGAGGTTGCGCGTGACGCGGACTTTGAGTTGGGCGGGGGTGTTGGAAGCGATGTTTTCAGGGTCGACGAGTTGGTGCTCGAGCTCGACGTTGGGGTAGAAGTTGTTTGTGAAGTTTGCAATGTCGGCGAGTTGGCGTTGGTCGACGTTGAGGGCCGAGATGAGTTGCTTGTAGTCTGGGTTTTCGTCTTCGTCCATGGCGTTGATGAAGTCGTCGACGTCGTTGATGCCGAATTTTTGTGCCGCCTTGATGGTGTCGGCGTCGAAGTGCGGGATTTGCTTGAGGGGAGAGTCCTTTTGCCACATTGCTTGGACGACCATTTGGGAGAGCTCCATGGCGGACATGGCGTTGAGATGTGCTTCCGAGGAGAGGACGTCGACACTGGCGCTGAGAATGGTAAGAACCTTTCGCAAGACAGTCTCTTGATCCTTGGCAAGATCAATAGGCAGCTGCATGCGTGAGAAGTGAGCTTGGAGAAGGACAAACGCCTTGAAATGTGGTGTCTCGAAGTTCGGCTCTTGCATCTTAAACGGAACACGGTCGTAGATGCGCTGAAGAATATGATCTTCGTGTCGTCGAATCTGAATGTCTTCAAACTCAGTGGCGGCAGTGATAATCTCCAGTACACCCTTCAAGCTGGTTCTGCCATTCAGCGACATCATGAGTGTCTGCATCGTAATGAATGAAATGTTGTAGTACGCTGCAATCATGCATGGGTTGAGTGGCGTGATGGCGTCCTCGTCTTCGTCATGCTCAATGAGGTTGGCATCCGTCAGCTCCTTGAGGGTCTGTTCAACCATATCGGACAAGTGCGCACTGAGTCCTTCGTGGGAAGTGTCGTGAAGGTTGTAGTAGCTAGGGTTGGCGAGAAGGCGACGGTAGAAGTATGTGTATGTCGACCAGTCAACAGCCTCTTGTGTAGACTCGATCGTCTTTGCGCTAATCTCCGCGACAAATGCGTCGTGAAGATAGTCATGGAGGTAACTCTCAATCGGCAGCGCCTCATTCAAGAATTTCTTGTAGTACTCGCGCTTCACTGCAGGTAGCATGAGCACGCCCTTGGCTGATTTGTCCAGTCCAACTCTGCCAGCCTTGCCGAACATCTGCAGAATGTCGCTGATGGGGTAGTCGACATATCTATGTTCACGTCCCTCATAAAACTGGGTACCTTGGACGACAACAAGATGAGCACTGCTGTCAATCTCCCAGCAAGAGTCTCGTGAAACAATCATGACCTGGATAGCACCAACCTTGAACAAGTGTTGGACAGCTCGCTTGTCGAACGAATTGAGAGCCTCATGGAAGTAACCGATACCGTGAGAAAGCGAAGTCGCAAGCGCTTGCTCATTGATCTTCTCGAGGATTGGTTGGATCTCCGACAGATCAACATTGAGGAAACGGTCTTCATCATCATCCGCAATGCATGCGTTGAAGAGGTCAGCAGCAGAGTTACGCGCTTGCTTCCTGTTCGCAACGAAGACCATAGCTGGTTTATCGGGAGACATTTGCGTGATAGCAGAGTATGTCGGTCTCGCCATAGCCATCATCAGAGATGGGAAATGAGGAATGGTGAACGATTGAATCTTGAGCTCGAGCGGTACAGCTCGAATAGCGGGACTGAAGTTGTAGATGGTGTGCTTGTTTGCGCCTATCCACTCACCAATGTCTCGTGCATTCGACAAAGAGACGCTCAGTCCAACGATACGCAACTTCGACTCGAGTTGAGTCGCCATAGCTTGCATACGAGAGACGACAATCTCATACACATGACCATTGGAACCGCCAAGCATGTGCAATTCATCAGCGATCAACAGCGACACAGATTGCACGTTCTTTCGGCGCTGCCATTGACGGGAGAGGGAATCCCACTGAGAAGGTGTAGCCAAAATGAGGTCACCCTTCTCAAGGAGTCGCAAGTCTGCTGTAGTTTCGCCAGTAAGCTTGACAACGTCCTTGCCTCCAGAGAGACCTGACAACCGCTCATTCCAGTTCTTGTATTGATTGTCAACAAGTTCCTGGAACGGCGCTAGGTAAACTATGCGGCCTTCGTCACCAGAGCCCCAGTGTCGCAAAATGGCGAATTCAGCACAGATAGTCTTTCCAATACCAGCCGAAGCACCAATGAGCGCATTGTCGTCTGTAGTGTAGAGGGTGTTGAAAGTTTGTGTCTGGACCTTGTTGAAGCGACCGATGTTCTCATACAAGCCCATGTATTCCTTCCTCTTCAGAGCAGAGA